TATAAAGACACTTCTTCTCTTCGAAAAAAGGAATAATCCAGTATTTAAACAAAGAATGGGCACCCGTATCTTTAGATCTCAATGTATTGAAACCTGTTTAGCAAGTCTTCCGCAATACAACAGCTAAAATATTAGGAAGAATAATTCCTAATGACAATGTTCCTCTTATCCTTGTGATAAGCAACTAAAGAAATGCATCCAGCTGCACAAAACAAGTTTTAAGGAACTACCATCAAAATATTACTTCTAAAGAGAAAGACACTAACCATGAAACAAAACACCAACCAAAAATCTCTGGTAGTAGTTAGCAGATAACATTCAGCCCATGACTATTAAGCGTAACATATACTTAAACAAACCCAGTGACCAGCGTTTGGCACTTATACAAAAACCAGTATCCTTGCTAAAGCATCAGCAGATTCATAAACTGCGCTCTGGGACGAAAAAGTTTTTGTAATCCTCTGTCTGTTCTAGTCCTGTCTAATTCCCGATAAATTAAGAATGTACTGCCCGGTACTAAACCGTAAGATTCGAAGCCAGAAAGAAAAAAAATCATTATCATCTTTATAGGTCAATACTCAAAGCAAATTCATGAGACTTCATTCATAAAACCAACCAGATATATGAAATTACAAAGCGGAACAGTTAGCGCTTCACAGTACAACAAACTTTTTAAATTCCAAATCAACCTAAACCCACAAGAGGTTCCCACAATCAATTAAACACTAAATGATTTCGAGAAAAAGAAAAAATAACCACATACTTTGCATCCACAATTGTTCGGAAAAAATTATTTCGCAGAGAAGTAAAGAGAAATCTCAAATTCAACTTATAAAATACTCGCATAACCAAATCTGCAGAAAAAACAACAAAAATTGAAAATTATAAACGACATCTCATCATACACTATGACCAGTGTTACAAATAAAAATATTAACAAAATTCAGTTCAAATATGCAAAGAACGAAAAAAGTAAACAGATGAAAAAACTCATTCATCACAAATAGCAAAATTTGACCAAAGGACAGTAAAAATTGAGACCAATTATTTGATTTAGTATGGCGATTACGATTACGACATTAATTTCAAAACCAAAAATTAAAAGAAGTTTTAGCAAAAAGATAGCACCGAACATAGCAGATCTCTTTCTCAGTAAGTTTTCAGGGTCAGCTTTTCTACCCTAATTTACTCAAAGCCTGCATCCAGAAAAATTTTCTGTAAGCTACCATTTTTAATCGTTTTTACATCATCACTATTACTGCTGTCTCTATTCTGTCGCAGTGGTCACCCAAATTTCAGTAAATGAAAAGCATTCACATGCTGGTATGATTTTCTACATCTCATAGTACCACCAGTAACTAACTTTCAAAACAATATTTCAAATCAATTTAAAACTTACTACATCCGTTCCGAATTAATACTCGTCTTCCAGCAGTAATAATATACAACTACTCAAATCTTATTTACTATTGGCTAAGCCAAACGTAAAAACATCAAAAAAGCTCTAGATAACAGATGTAAATTTAATATCAAAACAAGAAACAAGAAGTGGGGAATCGGGTACCACTATTCGACGGTTGAAAAACTGAAGAGATCTTTTCAAATCGGAGCTACAAATTCTGCTGACGAATTAAACGAGGCAATAACGTTAGTCGAAAAGTAAAAAAAAATGGAAAATGATAAGAGAAAGAAAAAAGAAAGTAGACAAACAAATTATACTGGCAGCTTTAATAAGTTTAATTTACCTTCTTCCACTCTAACAACGTATTTCCAGAAAAGAAATGTTGAAGTCATCTTTTCATAGCAGCATAATCGGTGTCATTACTTTTGCTGCCATTGTACAAGTATGGTTGAACAAATACATAAAAATACATATTGCTTTCAGCTTTTTGGCAACTCTCAAACTGCTCAAAGAACAATCCCTAATTTAACCATTATAAAAAAAAAGAAAAATAAGACAGAAAGTCTGAGGCAAAAACTAATCTTCACTAATAAAACAAAGCTCAACAAGGCATTAAATATAAGTGAATCAGCTGCTGGTTTTTTAAAGGAATAACTTCAACTACAGTCACAAAACAAAGGATAAAAACAGTTTCCTCTGACCGCAAAGAAAGAGTGATCTGTTTAGCAGGCAAAAAAAATACCAGAAAAAACTATAGAATTCTTTTAATAGATAACAAACTTAAAGAACACTCCAGAAGAAAATGAACCCACAAAATCATAAAAAATTAAGAACTATTCAGATTGTTCACTGATGCCCGTTTCTTCCAGCCTGAAAAACGAAACCTAGTCGGTAATAATAATCTCAGGG